ATTTTTAATAATAAATTTAAATCTGTAAATATAAATAAAATGTAATTTTTGAATGTAAAATTTCATTGTATATACTTTGACAAGTATACCAGAAATATAAAAATTATTTTAGATTTTTGTATAGTGCAGAAAAAAATTTTGATTTCTTGAAATCCCATATTGCTGACGGAAAAATTAAAATTTATCCCGACAGAACTCAGAGAGTTAAAAATAATTAGAATATTATAAGACACGTAGGCGAATCACACAAATATAACAGAATAAGCGTTTTTATCGTAGAGACAAAATTAATGAATCAGGTATAACAATAAACTTTTAAGAGAAGCCAATTTGCAAACAGAATTGCAAATAATGAATATGAGATTTCTCAAAAGAAAATAAGATATTTAGAGAGACACAAAGAAGCAACATGTGATTCGAGCAACAATTCTTTAAATCAAGATTAACGATGAGAAGACAAGCGTAATTTCAAAATGAAAATGAGACAGGGACGGCTGAGGTCATTCACCTATATGACTTCCAATGTATGAATATGTTGGGTGTTTTGTCTAACAGTAATTCAGAACGTTGCTAAACGTCACGAGTAAACGTCACAGGCTTGTTTAAAGGTATCCTGTGCTCCAATAGAGTTCATTATAATCCACTTTATAAAAATGCATGTCATGTATTGCTGCCTATTGATCTCTGACGTATTTTATTGATTAATAGCAATGAAAGGATGATTAATATACAATTACTGGAAATGCGTGATCTGAACATTTGTACCGGAAGTCTTACAATTAGTCATATATTATGTAAAATGTCTGGCAAGACGTGTATAAAACTTTGAGAAGACGTTCTTAAGAAAGATTTTTATTTACAATATTATTACAATATCGCGAATATTTCTTGTAATCTCGATTGACGAACAATTATACACATTTGCGATTTCTGTTTTCCTTGTTCCTTATATTATAAGTAAGTTGGACATTATAGAGAATCCATTTAATTTTTACGCGAATAATAAATACATCAATGTATTGAATTACATCAATAACAAAAACATCAATGTACTGAACTAAATAAGTGTAAAGTCTTAAATACAATAAAAAAAAGCAACAGGAGGGAGAACAGAGAATAGATTTCAACATATTCGAGACCGTACATTATTATACGGTTTCTAAATTCTGATAGATTGAAATCTCTTATTCTCTCCTATTCTCTCTCTCTCTCTCTCTCTCTCTCTCTCTCTCTCTCTCTCTCTCTTTCTCTCTCTCTCTCTCTCACGCACACATACACACGCACGCGCGCGCGCGCGCACACAGCCTATGTTTTTTATTGTATTTAAAGGTTAACTCCGTTGAATAAGATTTCGATTAGAATTCGTGACCAAGAAACGTATGCCCTTCGCTTTGGAATAGGTCAAGGTCGCAAGCATGTTTCATACATTGGATGGAGAAAGCCGGTTTCGGTCACTGCCATTGGCGACAAGGTTTCTCTGAGAGACCTAAAAGAGCGAAAATAGAATAATCATGCATAAGCATAGTCTTATTCCACTTCAGAGTGCTACCCACGACTTGGCATGAATTCGAATGATACCAAGAACAGGAGTGTATCCACGTCTGGTGGAATTTGTACCCAAATAGTGTCGCTGTAAAATTACGCGCGCCAACATGCGTGCGTTTGACGTGCATTCTGCTTAAAATACGTATGTACGCAAGGTACCGCGAAATCGATACATTTTCAAGGGCAATATATGGTGAAAATAGAAAAATCTAAATCGATGTCTATATCTCTTTTCGCGATTTTGTGCAAATTCAAGGAAATCAAAGTCAAGGAAAATGCGGATTGAAAGTTCAACTATCGAAATACTTTGCACAATGAATTTAGAATTTAATTCAAATTATGAATAATATAAAAATTTTTTCTTTTTGCTTATGAATGTTTCTATTATTTAAAGATTTCTTTTTTATTTTATCATACACTGATATTTTTTAGGAAATTTATAAATTTATTTTTTAAAAAAATGAATAAATATATTTTTTAAAATTACTTTTTTCTTTCTATTATTTTAAAATAAATTTGTTATTTTTCTATTAAAAATATAAATAACTTACAGATCTATTTAATTTCTGCGCACGTCATATGCATGATTTCGGATCTGTCAGCGGGCTAAAATAAAAAAATGAGACATCATTTTAATCAGAACACTTGTGGCTATTGTTGGAATCAGAATTTAATTTTTTCCATTGTTTTTGAGATTCAAACAAAGTGAATCAAAGTGAAAATCGAATTCTTCTTCTAAAATGAACTTTATTTACTTACTGAACAAAATAAATAATTCTAATGATAGCCGCAAATATTTATTTAAATATGTTTATTTTTTAGTCCACTAAGTGATCAGGAATTATGATCGCAAATAAACCATGCACATGATATACATAAAAAAAATTAAATATATTTATTAGTTATTTTTATAGAAAAAAATAGCAAACCTCTTGAAACAATAATAAATAAAAAATAAAAAGTAATTCAAAAAAATATTTATTCATTTTTCGAAAAAAATTTCTAAAAACCTATTAAAATAAAACAGAGCACTACAAATAGAAACCGCCTTAAAAATTATAATTTGCCACATGTACAAAATGGAAACTATTTCGTTTTCGTTTTATTCGCGCGATATGTACTTCGATCCTATCAAT